CGGACGATTTTAATGGAATTTCGGGATAAATGGGGGAGCAAAAGTTATTCAATTCGTGTCCATTTATTTCTACGTAATTCATGGATTTTAATATTATTCGAAAAATAATCCTCTCGATGCATATTTTGATGAAAAGCAATATGAATGATTTAGCGATGAGTTGTAAATTGCCAAAAAAAAAATAAATAAATAAATAATTATAAAAAGATAGTAAATCGATGAAGATTAATCAATAATAATAAGAAATTAGATTCAATATGAGGAAAATACAAATTCATCTGTAGTCAATTGGAAATTATTATTTTTTTTTTTGTAAGTAATCGTTTACGAGATATATTTATGATGAAGAAACAATTATGCTTTCTCGCGAAGCAATCGCATCGGACTGGTTAATTTCATTTTCAGACACTGTTCTCCGCTTATGTACCATAAACGTGAAGTTTCCTACAGACTCGTGCCATAATCCAAACACAGCGGTACTCCACTCTCCAGTCAACCACTTATACCTACAAGAGAAGTTACTTTACAAATGGATACTTCTCAACTTCTCAAGATCAGTTCAAAATCTTTCCCTATAATATCACCACGTTCAAATAAGATAGTTTCACACGTTTTTAATCAGATTGAAAGAAACCTGCAATGAAATCAATGCCAACAGGCAACATCGGGAAGACAATAAGATTCGAGATTTAATTAAAAACTTTAATTAAAATCCGAATCCCTCTCGAAATTCCAAAGAATTTCCTATCCTATTATAAAATGTCAGACAGATCGTTTATATGGAATTTCGGCACACAATTTCGAGAAGAATTTCGAAAAATATCAACGAGGTGAATGAATTTTATTCAAAATCAACACATTGGATATTTAATTTCCAGGAAATTAATCTTCCACCGGTTATTTCGCGAATGAAATGTGTTTGACTGAAATATATACATCACCAATCGTGGAATAAAATTTGCCATTAGATGCAAATAGGAAAAATTATTGGAAAGAATACACTCGAAGGTACTAATCTTCGTCGGGCAAATATGAGAGAATGAGAACGATTCAAACAGATGCACGAAAGTGGTATTCTAGAAGTAACCGAGGATGGTGTTGCGTTTTCCATTTTGAAGCGAGAGCAATGGCTATCTCGCCGCTTTTAAACCGGCGTTAATATTAAAGTCCCTTTTCAAAAGTATCGCCTCTCTGCGCCAAAGAGTTTTCATCTCATGAGTAATTTCATTCTGCGTGTAGGTCTGTTCCCTAATATAGGCACGTTATATAAGTTATTTCAACGCGAGAAGCAGGAGCGAAGCAGGTAGGTGCTTAACGTGGAAACAGATAAATTTCTCTCTTTACAAGAGCAAGGAAGGTTCGCCATTTCGGAAAATTGTAGCATCGTTTCCTTTTGTTATATTTATCGTGCACACGAGCTTTTAATTTCATTATTTTTTCAAACGTGTTTCTCAACACACTTTTTATCACATCGTATGGAAATCTGTTAAATTCAAGTTCAAATATTTCAATGGTATTTCAATAGATGGATAAGAAGAACATAGTGTTATATATTATTTCGCGAAGGATAAGTATTATTTGTTGAAAGGATCAAAAAGGGAAAAGTACGCAACGGAAATGTACTACCTACTTGAAATGTAAGAAGGATCCTTTATTTCGAACCAGTGTTCGAATTCCCCTTATCTTGTCACGTACAAATACTTGACTTGCCAACCAGGTTCGTTAAACTTCTCGCCAAACTCTCTTCCCTCAACAACGATCAACAGACTTCCTATATCTTCCCTGCAAACTTTCCCACGATATCTACACGATTATCTTGGAGCCATCATCCCATCCCTTTATACCTTTTTCTCTCGCCAACTTCATTGTTTCTTTCTTATCCCAACAACAGTTACGTGTGTATATATATATCATCACAATCCCCTATTCGTCGAATCGAGAAACGAGCAATGCATTTTATTCGATCGTTATCTCTCTCTCTCTCTCTCTCTCTCTTTCGAGTGAGATTCCCTATCCTCGTCGCATGCGTTATCTTGCCAATCTTTCGCTCGTCTTCGTCCGTCCCTTTATTTTTCTCCTCGAATTTTTCTCACTTGCTCGCGTTTCGTGGCGAGAAATCGTCGTCGTCTCAAAGGATACGCTAATGGAACGGATATTAAAAAATAAACGGGACGTGGCTGGCACGGAAATGAAAACAACCGCGAATTCGAGTTTCGCCAGCCATCTACCGACGATTACATTGCGATTAAATAGCAAAGCTTGGTGATGGAACGAATCGGTTTACGAATGCTTTGACCCGTCTTCCAGCATTTCTTTTAAATATTTCTCTTTCAATTTTCCCGGACTTGGAATTGGAAATTTTGCTCTCGAAGATGAAAGGGAAATCTCTATATTTCGGGTAGAACGGCAATAATATTTTGTCATTGGGATTTATCTTAATATAATTGCTCCAAATGTTGTATCTCGTAACTCGTAAATTTTGTAAATTGTGGGGCGAAATGTTTATAGGTAGTCACAGAGGGATTTATCCGAGTATTTTGGAAGCTATTGATCGCATTCGATAATATTAATGGATCCATTAGATATGGATATTATATTTTAATTATTATTGATGGACAAATAATTGGGTAATAGAAAAAACTGAATAATTCGATATAAGAGATTTAGTTTTTCCTAGATTGATTCACAAAAAATATTTAAAATATAATTCCTTAATAATTAAATAATTCTTTTGCCACGAATAATTATTAATCGTTTTTTTTTTCTTAATAAAAAATCGATTTTCATATATCAAATGGTATATCTCTTCAATTTTTATTCGAAAATCATCTCTCGATGTATCGTCAACTTCTTATCGTATATTTAAATAAATCGATTTAAATAAAACATTCTGTATATACAGCTGCACTTAAACATTGAAACTATATAAAGTTTGATTAGAAAACAAAAGAAAAATAACACCGTAATTCGAATATAACGACCACGATAGCAACGCAAATGAACCACCGAAATACCATTATCTCGTCTGTAGAGAATTCATTATCCCTTAGCTTCCGCACCCACCGATCTTTTCCTCCCTGTATAATCGAGGGATACGAGAGGGGAAAGCTTCATAAATCCCAACTATCGTTGTCGTAATTTTTATAGCGTAATCATGGGTTGCGAACAAACATCCTCGACGAGGCATTCCACGAGATAATGCGTCGCCAAGCAGGAAAACGATGACAGATACCGGTTCGATTTATTACCAAAGCCCGCCATATCGAACTACTCGACTACGTCTAGATCGTAAGTAGATAAGCTTCCTTATAGTCAGACGTCTAAATATCACGTGAATTGTTTCCAACTTTGTCGAACGTTTCGTCACGTTCTTCACGTTTTTTTTAAACATACAACTCTTTTGAGATATTTTCAATCAGAATTCATCACCTTTGTTTGTTAAATATATAATAGAATAAATAGATTTGAATATTGAAGGATTAAATCAGATTAGATTAGATTAAAATAGATTCAACTTTGTATCTTATTTCATCAAAAAATTGCGTGTTAGTTTAAAATTAATTTCTTCCATATCTCTCTGTCCATATTAAACTTCGTTCGATCATTAATTTCTCACGTTTCCATTAATTAATTATAATTAGATGCTTGTAAATTGATCGAACAATTTTGACAGAATTAAATTCTGCAAACAATCGTATTATACCTATCCCTTTTCGAAATCATAGTTCGAATCATAGAATATTGTGAAATCGTTTATCTTCCGGCGGATCATTCTCTTCCCATCGTGTAATGCATTAGCTCGGATACATAAACACAAGTTTGTTTGAGGTTTGGAAGGTACAATCGCAACTGGCTAAGTTAGGGTTTCAATAATACCCGGGCGAATCGCGAGGCTAGATAACAAGCAAAGTATCCCATTTGGTCATCCTATGCGTACTTCCGTGCTTTGTGCTCCAAAGACCGGGCCGAGAATGATTTTACGAACGCCAGGATCTCGGTGGAGCCAGATTCGGTGTAGCGTTAATTTGATATTAACGAGACTCTTGGATTACACCCGTGTAATCCAAGATAAGTAATGTTACAGTATTTGGTTAGCAAAGTGTTTGAGAATACTGCGTTCTGAGAAATGTTGAAACATTTTATTATCAATACGATCTTAGAAAATTATCTTAGATTGTAGATTTTAGAAAATATATTATGGAAATATTATATCGTTACATTACTTAGAATGGAGAATATGAAAATGTTGGAACAAACGTTACGCCAATCCAATATTGTAGAAATGCGTAAAATTTCATTTTTATTTATTTATTTTTTTTTTTACTTTTCCACTCTTTAAAAAAGAAAATTAATATATCTCGATTCCAGGGCATCGATATATAAACGAGAGAGATCGAGTACCGTCATTATCGATAATAATCGACATTCCTACTGTCCATGGAATAATTTCCAACAGCCATAAACGAATACCACGATCATGCGTTCAGCTTAGCGAGTCGTTAACGCCACATTAACGTCGCTCTTCGCTCATCTACGTGCCCGCGATCTTAATGAGAGCTGCTCACCTAACAAGTTTCACTGTTTAATGGTTCGTCGAATGTGGCCTGGAAATTACTAACAGATGGTCAAACTGATTTTCGAGCTCCCAATCGAATGGAGCGATCGATTAAGAAATACAGTTACGTTATTTTATTTTAAGTTTGAAACTAAAGATAGAAGATTTTTGATGTGAAATTTTCATATGTTGGTTTATTCATCGACAAATATATATTATACAATTCAATTTTTATTACAGCGTAAAGGAACAGTAAAAGAAACTATCTATTTTCAAATTCCAAATTCGAAAAGATAGACTCATCATTTGTATAATACAAGCCATAGGTACATTATATTAATAATTGATTATTGTTTTAAAAGTAATTCAAAGTATTTTATCTTTATTTTACAATATATATTTTTTTATTACGGTAAGACAGTGTAATAATCGACGTTGATTGCAGCGTGTCAACAGGTCAAATACGGCGTGCAGGCGGTATTCGGGCCATCGGATCCCATTCTGGGGCAACACATCCACAGCATCTGCGACGCACTGGATATTCCACATTTGGAAGCCAGGCTGGACCTGGACACGGAGGCGAAAGAGTTCAGCATCAATCTCTATCCCGCACAAAGTTTGCTCAACGCCGCTTATCAGGATATCATGGAGTTTCTCAACTGGACCAAGGTCGCCATTATCTACGAGGACGATTATGGTAAGTATTTCTTTCATCATTTCCCATCTTAATTACTCTCATTCCCTTTCGAAAAATGGAATCATTTCATTTTGGATTTTTTAACAAATTTAATTCTTCATTTGATTTCGCGGAAAATAATCTCATTTTTTAATTTATTTCTTCTATTTTTAAGATATATTATTATCGTTAATAAAAAAAATTGCGAGACAGTAGTCTGGATATTAATTCGATCTCAAGGATTAAATTAAAGAGAAATTCTAATTTAAACGAGGATTATGAGAGTCATAGATATTCGAAACAACAGAAGCATTAATTTCACCGATAATCCTGGTTGGATTATTAATTTGTTTAACAACCTGCTGAAGAAAGTCTTTCAATTAGCAACAATTAAGATTCCAGCAAATGGAATAACGTCGATTAATAAACATCCTTGCGAAAAACCGAGATAACGAAATTCATTCGTAATTAGAAAACGTTGGCCGGCGAGGAAAACGTTTAATTAAGCGAATTTCGTTTAATTAATTCGCGAAATGGCGATTTTAAACCAGGATTCCTTCCGGCGTTTTCAAGTAATTGCACACTATTCTTTGGTACCCTCGATCTTCGACGATGAATAATGTAAAGGGTTGAATGGAATTGTGTAAGATGCACGTGCGCGCAATCGTGGCATGGTTCCATTTCGATCTATAAGGCAATAAAGGCGGAATGCTTATTGACATTTTCTAAGTTTCTTAATTCCAATTCTTGGAGATGTCAAAGAAATGATGATCCGCTTTGTTGCACGGTAAATCGAGTAAATATTTAATCTTTATGTTAGAGTCTGAAAAAGATTTTCAAATCCAGTTTTTTTTTTTTTTTTTGCCTTCGAATCTTATAATTTAAGCTTTAAAAGATTATTTAGCTTAACAAGCTGATAAGTCTAATACTGATTTAATTTTTTAGAAATACTAGAAAAGATCAGAGAATGTTTCCATCGAATCATGGAATACTTGTGATAAAAGCACGATTTGAAATAAATTTCGAAGAAGGCGCGTACGTTTTACATGAAAAGTATTCGATACGTCATATTAGCTTTAAACGGCTCTTAGTCCAGGGATGAACTACAATAGGGATGCGTAAATTTAACCGCTATGAATATCGACCGAACGCTCGTGCTGTAATATTCCTGTGACAGATTGTTACAGTACGTGCATCGCCACCATTTCGTGCGCAATGAACGTGGCTCTTCCCCAAGCTAGATCGAGGATTTCGTTGTCACCGAAGGGTAAATGGCACATTCGTTGTCAGACGATAGGCATCCAGTTGCCTATTTCGAATTATAAATGTAGGCAGAGTACACGCTTCACAAAACGAATGATTTGAATTCTAGATCTTCTAGAATAAATAAACCATATATTATCACGAATTTAATTCACGTTTTAATCCATTCTTGGAATGATATTAGATTTTCAACGAATACGATAGAAAATTTTTCAAATAATTTAGTTTCGAAGACTCGATGAGATTTGTGCGAATTTAATCGAGTGGAGCAAAAAGTGGAATAAAACGTTTCTGTTTGGGATAATAATTAACAAAACTAACAGAAACTGAAGCATTATTATCTCTAATTAACAACAGTAAGGAAATTAATTACATGATATATAATTATAAATATATTTTATTCCTCTCATGAATTGGTTGTATTAAAAGAAATATGGATATTTATAAATGAAATAATATGATAAAGTGATATTGATATTAATAATTAAATTGCAGATTTTTATGCAACTAAAATGTGTTCAAATATATAAAAAATATCTCATATAATGTCATTAAAATACACTGAGAAAGTAGAGAAAACCATGCCATTGAAATCCCATTTTGAATTATCTCGATATCTCTATCGGTTGCCAAGATATAAGGATTTAAAGTGTCCATAGCGTTTACATAGTGCAAAAGTTATGAATGGACTCCTGACCTACATTTTTTTCCTGGAAACGCGTACTACGTCCTTCCAGGAATTACGTCTGCCACTTGTCGGGAGCTTAGAATAGGTCAGTAACACGAGGTGCGAGCGAGAGGTCCGAGTAAGCGACAAGGAAGGAGATACTAAACGATTAAAAATTACCTTTCTCTTTACACGACGATATCTCGAGAACCGGAAGTCGGATTGGGATAAACGAAAGAGCGTTTTAAAGGGGAAGGTTCCCCGCTTCTAACGATCGCTCACTCATTGACCGGAAGTCAGTATCTTCGGAATTACAACGGTTCAAAGTTTTGCTAATTTTAATAGAGTTTAATCATGTTTTAGATAAATGATTAAAAATTACCTTTCTCTTTACACGACGATATCTCGAGAACCGGAAGTCGGATCGGGATAAACGAAAGAGCGTTTTAAAGGGGAAGGTTCCCCGCTTCTAACGATCGCTCACTCATTGACCGGAAGTCAATATCTTCGGAATTACAACGGTTCAAAGTTTTGCTAATTTTAATAGAGTTTTATCATGTTTTAGGTAAATGATTAAAAATTACTTTCTCTTCATACGATGATATCTCGAGAACCGGAAGTCGGATCGGGATAAACGAAAGAGCGTTTTAAAGGGGAAGGTTTCGCGCTTCTAACGATCGCTTATTCATTAACCGGAAGTCAATATCTTCGGAATTACAACGGTTCAAAGTTTTGCTAATTTTAATAGAGTTTAAAAGAGTCATGTTTTAGATAAATGATTATATATTTTAATCAATTTTCAATTAGCAATAACTAAAAAAACAATGTCTCTATTTTGTCTCGAATTATAAATATGCAAGTATATTCGTTTTACAAAATAATGAAATAAATTAAATTTCTAGTTGATCAAATTAAAAACAAATCTCTCGAACGATTCAATGGAAAAAAAAAAAAGAAAAATTCTAAATTAGGACACGAGCCAATACGAGTGAAAAGTTTCACGAACACTTTCCTTTCCAAGGCTCGAAGGGATTTGAACAAACTTAGCCAAATAGCCGATGAAAACACGCTTCGAGTTCAACCAACGTCTAAACCAACGAGCTTATCTATTTGCGCGAAAGTTATACGCCCAAGCCGATTAGAACACTCATCCCAATCCACCCCCTTTGCGCCACATCCGTCACCAATCGAGGCCAACCATCCCCTATCCGTTTCCAAATTGATTTCCAACAGAGATTTATCCGAGCCCCAGAATTTCCGTGTTCCTTCCATTTTCAATTCGAGTCAACGTTGCCCACAGCAGGTAACGAATCCTTATCCCTGTCTTCAATCCGTGTTCAAAGCCATTGACTTTCCCTTGTCCAAGGATCTGGATGATTCTCTGACGAATCCCTCTCGACGAACTTTAATCCCTTTTCACGGAGATAGGTTTCAACTCGAAACCATCGATAGACCGTGGATGATTTAATGATTGGACTTCGATCAGAATCCAATGGGACCAAGTATACACTTGAATACTTCTTGAATACGAATCCCTTTCTCCATGCTAAGTACTACATAAATTCAAAAATTTTCACGAAAATTCCTTACTTAAACTTAGCAACAAAATTTCCAACATTTCTAATAACGCTTTAAGGGAGCCCCGCCCTTCGTTATTTTGTGCCGTCAGCGTTAACCCTCGTTACACAACTCTGCAACCGGCATCTTCCATCGGGTTCCATGTACTGGAAGCGAGTATTCATTGTGAGAAATTCCTCGAGGTGGTGCGCCGTTTAACGCGCGTGTTAATTTCGCGTCTGTGATCTCACGCTCCTTATTAAAGAACCACGTTAAAATTTTCCTATCCCCTCCCCCCCCTCCTCACTTGTTTCCATTCTCAAAGATCCTACGCGTGAGGAGGGAAATTTTCGAAAATTATATAACGCCTCGCGCGCAACCCTTCCATTCTTCGTCACGAACGTACGTAAGTTTCTAGTTCGACGAAGAATGTCTGTGTTTGATTCAAACCATATGGAAAGTTTCCCCCTTTTCAACGATAAGATTCTTGGATCTTGAATTTGTTCGATGTAAATGGTAACAATGCGGAGAATCATTTCATTTGTAAATTTAACAAACAGGATTCGAAAGTATTATTAGTCGATTATTTTGAGATAGAAACATTGGAACATCTGACAGAGATTTCAAGAGTGTAATTTTAAGAATATGTCTACATGAGAATTTTGAATGAAGAATGCCAGTTTGATGAATAATTATATATTAAAGTCGATTAAAATTTAATTGTATTGTATTTTCCAGACTTCAACACGTAAAATTTAATTTCAATATAATCTCTGTACAAAAGTAGCTGTGATTATACATAGCTAGCTGTTATAAGTAAATTTAAAAAATAACGTAACGCACGTAAAATTTAAAAAAATTGCACAGAAAAGCAGAGCATTATATAGCAAAGCATTCTTTTTCAATAGAAATTGTGGCAAAGCTGTGGAAGAACATGGAATTTTAAATTTTTCCTCTTTTCTCAGGCTTCAAATCCCATTATGGAAATATTTCTCTCTTTTTTAAATTTTAAAGAACTAATACTTCAAACTTAAAAATTGCTTGTAAATGTGAATTACATTTTCTGTAAATTTAACCCAATTTTCTTCAACCGTTTATTTTATTAACAACAATTGAGCTACTCGATTGACTTAACAATCAAAAAATAAATGTAGCAGTTTTAATTTCCAAATTATTAGTAAATCAATCTTATTGATAAAATGATTGATTAAATCAATAATTCGTAAAAAATGGAACAATAACAAAAATACAGAAACATTTCCATCATCATTCATTCCATCCATATAGCCATTATCAATCCTTTCTCCCGATCCTCCTGATATTCCGAATTGGCGCTTCTCACTCCAATATCCTGGACAATAGAAAGACGCAACGTCGCATTTTAAACCGCAAAGCAAGAAAACACCCTCCTCTCCATTTCCACCCAAAATATACAATACCATTCTCGATATCTCGACGATTCGAATCACCGTTAAAAATCCATTGAAAACCTTATTCGAGAGTTTGCACGGATTTTTGACGGATTACCACCCGTTCCCCGTATTATGGAATACAGCAACGCTTTCAAACTCCATTCCATTGCATTGCGGGTATTCCCGTCACGGAGGACGAAAATCGGTTCGAAACTGCTTGCGTCACGGGCAGACCCCCTCGCGATATTGGCAACCCACGTTGAGGATTCTCGGTACATCGCGGAAGAAGCGGCGAGCAACGTTGCTCGCTCTCGCCTCTCCCGGGTGCAAGATTCGTCCACCCACGGGGAATATGTATCCAGTCTGCCACGTTGCGTTGGTATCTAAATCACGAGACGAGTGACGTCGTCTCTTCTTTTCTTCCCTCCTGAGAGAAGCGCGCCAGTTGATTCTCTCTGCGCGAGATGTTCGAGGAAGTACAATGGATGGATGGATCTGTCGTGGAAAAAAAAAAAATATGGAATAACGACGCGTATTTTTTTACATATATTCTTTTGGACGTGAGTTTAGATAGAGTATGTGGACTATCGATTTTGGAAGCAAAGTTTAAAAATTATTTTATTATTGTGGTACAGGATAGACGCATGCTCTTCGGCTGTTTGAGTTTTTAATTTGGATAGATATTGTTGTGGTATAAATTGATCGATTTATTTTATATTTTAAATTCTTATTTTTGAGAAAATTGAATTGTTTGTGTATAGTTTCAACAACAAAATTTTGCTTCTCGATCGATAGTCCATTCGTATCTAAACAGGAATTAATCTCACTTCTTTCTTTTTTAGATTTTTCAGAAATCCATTATTTCATATTTTCGATTTATTTTTTCATAAAAAATTCATTCATTCGCTCGGTTATAATCGTAAGGAATCGAAAGATCTTGTACATGAAATGGAAGAAAAAAAATTTGAAAGCGAATCAGAAAGAAGGAATAAAAGACTAAGTACGAAGATTAGATAAAAACGAGAGAAGAATAAGAAGAAGAAGAAGGGAACATTGTTTGAAAGGAATCGATGAAGCAAGGAAACGGAGATAAGGGAGGCAGGAAACGGGCTTGTGAAGGGATGATTTCACGGATTTACGACTGAGCAAGATTGTGTGGCGTGTTTAATACCACCTTTGTCAAGCATAGAGATTAAGGTGTCTCGTGACTGAGATACCCCAACCAGTCGTTGTCACAACATAACGAAGGATCGTGATGCGCCCTTGTTATCCGGCAAATAACCTTTTGGGAGTGAATATCAGTCGCTTTATTACCATGTTTAGTCTGACTGATGTCAAATTTATGGTAAATTTAATGCGTGGTTAAAAGATACGTATTATTATGCTTGATCGTATGATGGAATATTTTAACGAATTTTAGTCATTTGTGATCCATATAATCCTAAATTACTCTGTCATCCTTACAATCGAATTTCCTTATTGATACTACTACGATAAAATGGAAATTTATTAACTCAATTTCACATCGAATCACTATCATATATATTAACCGATTGCTGCGTACGAACAAAAGTTATAAAATTCTTAATAAAATGTAAACACGTAATAGAAAAAGAAATAACAATTAAGAATTAACCGTTTATACATAATCACTTGATATGTTCGAAATCATCTGGTGAAAGCATCTACAATCACGTGTAAAGAGCAATATCATCGCGTTAGTATCTAATAACAACAACACAGAGTATCACGTGCAATTTATCATCGTCATCGATTCTTGTTTGTTTCTCTGATAATATATGTAAACCCGAAAGATGAGAACAATTCAATTTCTCTCGCATACCAGACGCGTTCTCTCTATCGAGGGAAAAATGAATGACTTCCTTCCTCCCTCAATATTTCACTCGACAACGGTTATCGGCATTCGAGGCACGATCGTAAGCGCTTGTCATTAGAGTAAGTAAATGCCGATATAATAATTTGTTTCGTGTCTTCAACGTCCCTCGAGAAATCATCCACTATCACAAAACGCCTCCCTCCTTTTTCTTCTCCAAGTTTTTTTATCCGCTCGAATCGGAACAGGTTGGTTGTCTGTTGGTTTTACTTAGTATCAGGCGAAGATTTATGAGGGATATCTGTTTTTCATTCGTTTTTTCCCTCCCCTTCCTTCTTTTTTTTTCTTTGGCAAGAAGAATGAGGGGGAGAATAAGTTGATCAATCCTTTTTTTATTTTGTTCGAAGTAGTTGAAAGGAAGTGCTTTAATTCTAATTAGAATCGATGTATCGATGAATATTTGTGATATATGTATCGTTGTTTTGTATTATTTTTAGAGTGTTCGATTGAGAGCAATATAACTATGAGCTGGATAAACAAGTGTGTATGTGTGTGTGGTACGTGATTTTCTGAGATTCTTTATTCAGATTTTAACTTGATTTTTCAGCATGAAATATTCTTTTTGTTAAGGAAACTCTTCGAATTTTTAAACATAGAAGTAAATTATTTTTAGAGGAATGTAAAGAATGTTTTTATAAAGTTAAAAACTTGGAAATTCATTGGTACAAATTTAACTTTAAAAATTAGGAAATATCGTAGCTATATATATTTCGAAAACATGAATCTCGAACAATTTTAAAATTAAACGATTCTTCTAAAATGATTTATGTTGTTATTGTCACTGCAAAATATTCAGAATAATCTCTTGAATCCCAAATGTAGAACTTTGAAAACGGATCGAGGACAGATGTTACTCGTATTGAATTCGAAATGACAAATCTTGCCGGTTCATTTAACTTTCTCCTTTCGCCCAGGATTATTTCACTCTCGTGAACTTGGATCATTTGTAACATCGATTCGATTTATCCTAAATCCTCGTAGATTGGATGGAAAGAAATGATTAATTGTTCCATTCTTCGTCTTATTTAGAATTGTATTGGACATGCAAATCATATAACTTAATCATTAGTTGTTTCCACTACTATTAACTTTTCGTTCAAGTAGAGAAATCGGATAAGTGAATTTAATCGTTACATTATGGCTTATTTTTCGAATTATTTATACTCTACTGTGTTTATTTTTTATTATTCAAAATAAAACTATCCATTGGCTGCAAATCGAGAGAGAGAGAAAAGAAAGATCTCATTTCCAAAATTATGGATAATAAGAATGAATTAAGAATCAAGCTCCATAATTCAAAGAATAAATACATACACAAATGATTTATATTTTCAGGTATAATTGTAAGTAATAAACGAAATATTTTAATCAATGAAAAAAAAAAAAAGTAAGAGAAGGAAAAGAAAAATTACCAAACTACGTAAAAAAAACTATCATAATTAAATTATTGGAAGAAATACTCTGCTGCTTTCACAATTGTTAATACTTGGACAGGTTGACAATGCATCTTTCTTAACGATGGACAAACAAACAGCTTCCATCCCCTCCCGAAAACGAAACTCAATGCTTACAAATTCGGCGAACGGGGTTTGCCTGTTACACCGACGACAATTAAATTCCGTTTCTTGCCGAGGGATTAGTCAACCTGTCTACGAATTTGTCCACGTTAATTAACGAGTCTGCACCAGAAAAATCTGGCCCTGTTCACGTGGGAAATCTATTCGTTCTATTTGTCTCGACAAATCACTCGTACCATTTGATTTCGAACGATGAAATGCTAAATCACAATTATTGCGAAATAATTTTAGAATGACAAAGATGCGACATATGCCGAAAATTATCGTCGAATAAAAAGATATTAAATATTAGGTAATTTAGCGTGAAGTTTGATAATAGAGTTCGTCATAATAAAATTATTTATCGTTGAATGTCATCTCAAAAAATTCCATATTGTAGGAAACAATTTATTCCCAATCTCGTAATATCATTTTATCATTCGTTCATATCTTAAAACTGAATAATTAATTTACTTATAATTAAATCATTCGATTTAGAAAAATGGAAAAAATATAATTTTAATAAATGTCTCGAATGAAAAAACTCGTAGAATTTATCGTTGACGATCGTCGATATTACGATATTATGCGTCGATCAATAAATCCACGTCCACGGAGATGAATAATTAAAAGTTTCGAAATGATCGAGGGAACGATGATCGAATTCACGTGAAAGCTGAGTTTCGATCGACCCAGGAGAATGATCGAAACGTTAGCCCATGAAACAGAGAGCCCCGGATGTCCAAGTTCCAAGAGTGGAAACTTGAAAGGGAACGAACTCGAACCTCGGGGAAGACCCGCAAGTCGAGATGATACCTTGATTACTTAGGCGGTGGCAAGTATTGATTTCATCGGTCGACGCGATTCACGGGTTTCCATCCCATTAAACGGCCAGCCTAATAATATCTAAGAAGAAACTATTTCGGAGTATCCTCGATTATTCTTGAACCGAGCCAGGTCAGTTTGAATGTACATATTTCTTCTCTATTATTGAAAAGAATTCAATCGAGATATGGTATACGGCACGTTGCTATTTTTCTGTAATTCGATTATTTCAATAAAAATAGGAATTTGAAGGAAATTGGATTCGATGGTATAAAAATAATTTTTTTTCATATGGACACATTTGGTACGGTCCATTTTTTATAATTCGATATTGGCACATGTCTATTCTTTTAATTGGGTTATTTGAATATTGAAAATTTTATTGGGGATAAAAATAGGGAATTTGAAGGTGTAAAATCAATGATCCTTGATATAAAGTCAAATTTATTTTATTGTGAAAATTATTTGTTATACATATTACATCACGATATTATCACAATTTAACAATCATTTTTGAAAATCTGATTATAAATGTAAATTTACATTGATTCACGTAATTCTTTTATTTTTTAATTCATCCGATATTTACAATCCAATAAAACTTTCACGCTCGTCCGATCGATATTTTCCATTATCTAATTATTCAATCTTATAAAATTAATTACCATTGCACCATTATACTGTAATAAAATTGTGAAAAGTTTTAAGTTGGTTAAGATCTCCAATCGAAATGACACGTGATTTCGTTAATTTCAGGACTGGTGAAGCTGCGAGAACTAGTCAGGTCGCCGAAGTCTCAGGAGATGGAGGTTAACCTCAGGCAGGCAGATCCAGATTCCTACAGGCAGGTTCTATCCGAGATGAAAAGCAAGGAAATACGGAATCTCATCGTGGATACCAGGCCAGAGCATATGCATCATTTTCTACGAATGGTAAATATATATTCGTGTATCGATTTCCCGTTTGGCTTCGATAATCCCAACTCGTCTCCCATGTAAATATCAGCCAGATATTCCCAACTTTCTCTATGTTTGCTTTTATCCAATATAGATCGTGGAATAGATCGTTCCTTTTATTTCTCCTTTTAAATCTTGTAACGCGACTATCATTCCCCCTCCCTCCTCTCTCTCTCTCTTTCTCTCTCGTTTTAAATACAGTAGAGTTCCATTAATATAGATCTTGGGAGACAAACACGTTCAGATAATTCCTCCAGCTGCGATTTTTCGATTCCAATTAACAGGAATAGGAACAGGTTGATATAACCTGATTTTCTGTAAATTTCATAATAATTACAAATTTAAAAATCATCTTTCAAGTATATTTATTGAATTAATTAATTTATTTCATGTCGTAGATAAAATCATATTATTTGTTCGAGTTTAGCTGGAGTTCAAATTCTATGTAAAATTTCGCTGAAGTTTCACTATCCTTACTTTAACATGGAGGAAATATTTTATTAGAAATCGTGTTTGTCGGCAAATTGATGTAAACTTCGAACTGACTTCAGCCATTAATTCTTAATTAACCGATATGGAGAGACTCTGCAAGATGTATTTGTCATAACTAATATTTATACAAATTTATATTTTTATCATCACAATTGTAACAATGAAATTTAAGAAAGGATTCATCTTCTATATATCATAACGAGTAGATATATTATTTATTGCAGATTTTTTATTTTTACATTTAAAATTTTCACAAAAGTATATAAATACATTCTCATCGAATGGATCTGAAAATTTCCACTATCTTATTTTTTTTTTTAGTACTCCGTTGTCAACGTGACAAAAGCATCAGATTTTTTGTACCTCGATTTATTTGCGTTTCAGAATTTCGTAGATCGCGTGTCAGTGCGATTGACAGACTCGGTATCTATATTACTATCCAAAATTTAGTAATTCGATATTTTAAAGAATGTATTTTATAATACAATTTATATTCTTCTTTTCTTTCACTTGCTATATCCTATCTGTTAATATTTTCATTAATTTCGTTCGAGAAAATATCGCTTCGTAACGTTTGGAAAAATGGACATATACGGAAGAAAAAAATCGAACCAATCAAGACAAAGGCAGGCCCTCTTCCAGTGAAAATAATCTCTCAAAATGTCTGTCTGCTTTCAGATACTGCAGCTGCAAATGAACGACTACAAGTACCACTATCTCTTCACAACTTTCGTAAGTACACTCGGGGCGAGGAAGTGGATGGAACGCGGATCCACGCGTCTCGAAAACGCAATTCGTCTCTCTGTGTTCCAGGATATCGAGACCTTCGACCTCGAGGACTTCAAGTACAATTTCGTCAATATCACTGCCTTCCGTCTGGTCGACGCGGAGGACGTCGGTGTGCGGAGTATCCTGAGGGACATGGAGCGGTATCAGCCGTCCGGGAATACGATCCTCAACAAGTCGAGAGTTATACAGGTGGGTAAAAAATTTCCGTGTCATCGAGAATCTCTTCACCCTAGTAGAGAGATATGGAGGTCCTCGGTGATGTTTGCGCGATCTGTTATTCCACTCCTTCCGATATATTCGCGCGCGATCGATTTTTCATCCGGGCCTGTTTGCACGCTTAAACGGATGCGCCAAGTCAATAGTCGCGATTGTTCACATTGGACTTGATGGATGGCTTCTGGAGAAATTCTTGCAAGAATTATGAGAGCAATAATAAATCGAATATAAATTCATTTGTATAAAAAATTACACGCTTTTTTATAAGACTGTATTTTAAATTAAATCAACGAGTTATTAATTATTCATATATATATATATATAAAAACAAGTTCCATTTTAATTATTCTAATCTCGCAAAACCATTTTTCATTTTCAGAATAATAACAAATTGTACATATTATTATTTCATCATAGGATATAATATGTGTGTATATATAACCGATCAAATAAACGTTCGAGTAGTACAGTTACAAACAGAACTATAAACAGAAGGCCAATCGGATAATATTACGCGTATAACATTCGTAACAGACGGACGTGCGATATAATTTCCCGTATAGAATCGCGATTCCCGCGATTAAAATGAAAAATTGTCACGCGCAATTTGCAACCTGTTAACAAACAAACAAAACGGAAGGGAAACTTTTCGACGATAAAAATTCGCATTTCGTGTGTGTTATGATACTTTTATCGATCGTGAATGGTGGAAAGTGTGGTGGAAACACGTGTCAACTCGTGGAATGCAAAATAATGATAACAATGGGGGAAAGCCCGGGCTCTCGATGCCTGGTAACCCGAGTTAAATAATTGGAAGGCGGAATTCTACGAGGGAATCGGGTTCGTTAACGGTTGATGAAGAGTTATGAATATAGCCGGGATTAAACCGGCCACGTTGATCAAATTTCGCGGAATTTAGGGGACTGCCCTCCTGTTTACGACACGCGCGCTCTGCCGTTTCCTACTTTTTCTCGATTTGCATTCAGATTAGCGCGGCTGGCGTCGCATCGGTTAAACGTCGGCTCGTGTAAAAATGATTTCGAGATGCTGTTGCGAAATTCTGCCCGAATTTTTTACATCAGAGAGAAACAAAGGTAGAAGGACAATACGAAATTTTAACGTTGTATTAACGTTTCGATATTTTGTTTCAGAGAGCTTGAATCGAGGATCTTATTCCAAGAAAAATTGTACTTTTTTTACTTGACGTGATGTAACGAAAAGAAATCGATTTTATAACGTTTTTGTGGAAATCAAATTTATCGATTCAATGGATTATTAATTATTGAAATGGAAACGTAATTTTAATATTCGCGAAGTTGTCGAAAATCTGTCCATTTCTTGCTGTGCAAGACACATCGTTCTTTAATTATTGATTAATAAGATTACTTGGACAATCGATACAACGAAACGTGCGAAAGTATTCGATTAATAAGAAATGGAAAAGATGCGCATCAATTGCGGAGAGTTCTTCGAGTTCTTGAAAGAAAAGAATTTTCGCAAAGGAATCCCGTGATTATCAAAAACGCGTATCGCTCAGCGCGAAATTCCTCGTTTTAATAACGCAAAGAAGAAAATGCAAACGGCTGTCAGATCTTGGCAGAATATACACGAGGGGACCAGTTGTTTTGCATTTTTTTATTATTCCATCCGACACGTTTCGTCAAGATAACTAAATTCCTCGAGTGGAAATACGTATCCTTTTCTTCGTTTTTCGTTGTTCTCTCGTTGGAACGTCTCGTTTCTCCTTTTTCCCCTCTGTTTTCTCATACAAACGAAATCCGCGGAGAAGGAGATATAAATAAGTTTTTATCCGTGGAATAATTTCGTGATAATCTAGTTATACAATCTTGTTCGTTTTACAATATTACATATGGTATTCAATTAATAATTACGAAACTTAAGCGATGATTGATTCTCTATACAATTTTTTCGTGATATTAAGTAACGAAAAGTAGGTACATAAATATCAAATGAAAAACGTGAAATATCAAAATAATGGAAAAATAAATTGGAAAAATAATTATCATAGAATACGAGAATTTATTTAGACAAAGTGTAATTTGACTTATAAAAGCTGGCGACTTTATTTATAATATTGTAGGTGTTTCAATATTTCCAGGGTTTCCTTAGAAGGTTTCTTTTCTGGGAATGAAAACCTTGGATCGGATTAGTCTCTTCTCATAATCTATACATTTCTTTGAATTAATATAGTAGAGTAAAATCATGCGAAAAATGAAAAGATTGGAATGTGATGAAACATTCACACGTCACAATTTGGATACAAGTGTTGAATACAATAACTTTTAATTAATTAACATAAAATTGTTTGTAATATTTTCGATACACATCATTGAAAGGAATAAGGAATATTTTCAGAGGAATATTTTTCACAAAAGAAACCATATTTCTCACCGAGTCGAGAAACTTAATTCTTTTAAAATCGACGCTTGCATAAAGTGCACTCGAATGGCTCGTTTGAATCGACAATTGCATTCCAAAGAAATATGTCGAGTGGAAGAGAAGTAGAAAAATAAAGAAAGGGGAGAATAAGAATTGTATTAATACCGGGGAAAAAAGCAACGTCAATAATTTCTTTAAAAAAGAAAATTAATATCATGATGATTGTCATCATCGAAACGAAGTTATGGTGGAAGTTAATAAACTAAGAAACATGTGGCTTCCGCTCGGACTCTTAATTTAAAGGAAGAAGAAAATTGGAGGAACGAAGACTTAAGTAGAAAAATGAGAAAACATTGTGGGATAAATCGCGAGGAGATTTATGATTCTCTTTAATGATTGTGTAAGGGAAAAATTTTCTAATTATGCACGTTGCGATGGTTCAACTTGCGGCATGGAGCAGACTCGTGTTGAATAATGGAAAAATTTTATTTGAATTTAAATTAAAAAGTAACTAGTTGAAGTAATTTAATTCGAATCGTTAGTTTGAATAGTATTGTTTGAAAATACAGGTAATACGTTACATAGAATATTGATTTGTTTGAATTCAATTAATGATTTGTTTAATCTTTTTTTTTTAATTTAAATTTAATAAAAGAATAATTGTGAAAAATAATCATCTTAAAATGAGTTTTATGCAAACAAAATATAATTGCAAGTACAAATCAATATTACATTATTACAATCTGTATTGTTTTCGTTAAATATAAAGGTATTTTTTTTTATTTAAATGATATTGTTTAAAAGCATATTTTAAATCAAGTGAAATATTTTTTATACAATTATTCCAAACAATTATAAAATTATATTGCGTAGATTAATATTTCAAGTGATATCATTTTAAATGAACAAAATTTTACACAACGATATCAATATTAATTTGCTCGTGTTTAATTCATTCGGGAGCATATTTTCAAATTTTCACAGGTTCATTTTTTCCAAACGAAATAATTCCGAGATATTATATTAATTAAATTCTTATTTGTTCGTTGATTAAATTTTTCGAGTATATTTATACTAGAAAAACTGCATATTTTCTATTCCAATAAAGATTACATGGCATGTATGTTCATAAATTTTTGAATAAAAATTTTGACTCGGTGTATATAAAGTGTAAAAAAAAAATAAAAACAAAATAAAAAAAAAACTTGCCAATAAAAATAAAGACTAAAAATCCTATATCGTATCGCGATCGTTCCAAATTGAAATATCCCCGTTTGCATTTTAAAAAAAAAATGTCTCTGTCGTGTTTTTTTCTCTCTCTCTCTCTCTCTCTCTCTCTCTT